TGGGACTAAAAGCTTCTTGAGCTGAGGCCCAGCCCAGCTCCCTTTAAGGTGGTGCACATTCTAGACCATTTTGCTCTCTGCAGCCCCAGCCCCTCCCTGGCTACTGAGAGTCCCACTTGTCCCTGGTACTTAGGGCATAGCAGGACGGCATCTCTCCTCTGTCTGAACAGGACACTGAATCTACCTCCAAACACCTCTTGGTTCCGCCCCCCTCTCCCCACCTTCATCCACCCTACCTCCTCCCTGGCCCAAGCTACCATCATCTCCAACCTGCCCTCCTACATCCAGTCTCCAGGCAGCAGCTGGAGACTGTTCTAAAGCATACATCAGACCCTTCCACAATGTGCTCAAAGCCCCCTGCCTCTCACTGCCTTTATGCTGAGTTCCACAGTCCTTACAAGAGCTTACAAGATCCTAACCTGCACACCTCTCACCTCATCTTGAACCTGACTCCCCTACCCCCCTTCTCACCCTGGCCACACTGGCCTCTTTTTGCTTCTCAAACACATAAAGCCATTCCCACCTGAGAGTCCCTGCCTCAGACCCTTTTGAACATGCTGTTCCCACCTCCTGGACTCCTTTCCTCCCAGATCCCTAGGTAGCTGCCTTCTTCTAGTCAATGAGGTATCAGCTCAACTGTTACCTCCTTAGAGAGGCCCACTTTCCCCACCAGAGAAGCCCACACAAGCGTCTCCCCCAGGCCTAGCACAGTGCCTGCAGAAACCAGGCCCTCGATAAAAATGATGTGGACTGAATATATGAACGAACTATGGTGAACATGGAGTGTTGAGAAAAGTTCTTAATTTTTCTTGGGCATGGTCTCCTGGAGAACTGGCAAAAGCAATGGGACCAGGAAAATGGGGACTTAATACACATTCCTGCTCCATTTCAGAGGGCCGATGGGGCCTCCCACCAACTGCCAAGTGCCTCCGTGGATCTCAGCTGAGAATCCCCACCTCACCTGCAGCTGCTTGAGAGCTTTCTGGGCCTGTTCTGGCTTCCTGTATTCCACAAATCCAAACCCCATGGAAAGCAGTGCTCCTGAAAGAGAGGCGGAAATCACACCAGTGGCGTGGGTGGGGGAGAAGTAAAGAACAAACACAAGACCAAGGGTGAGGGCTCCAGGTGGGGCTGAGACCTCCACTCTATTTTCTTTTTTCTTTTCATACCCCTCTTCATTCCCCAAAAGATTTCAGCTCCTAGCCTACCATTTATTACTAGTCATTCCAATGAATCAGCCAAGGAGGTAATATGGCCACCACCTGAGGCCAAGCTGACCAATAATTAACAGATGATTGACATGATAATTAACTTCATAATAGAATTCCGCCTTTGGGAGAGAGCTTGAACTAAAAGGGATGACCATAGCTACGACAAGCAGCAAAACCTCTACCTGGGCAGTCCCCTACCTCCACACATAATGCACAAAATGAATATGTGTATGAAAGTCACTGGCACCAAAGGCTTGCTCTTTACAAGTATTTCTGACCATCCAATTACATTCGGTTCCTGGGTTTTAGACACAAAGTTCGGATAGGGAAGGCAGCTGCGTTATTTCAACTTATCTGGTTCCCTACTTCTAGGTAGTGAATAGCTAAAGTTCAGATGACATTGTGATAATTCTATGAGAAACTTTTGCTTCCTGAGCATATGTATGAGGGTACTTTAAAAAGTTCATGGAAAAATGGAATCGAAAGATAATATGAATCTTTCCATGAACTTTTTGAAGACCCATCATATAATACATGTGTGTATGGACACATGTATAACGGGGGAGGAGGGAGTTCATTCACAAGGCACTGAAAAATATAAGATCCCTAATTACATTTTGCCTTTTTGACTCAAAACTGGATGCATCTCCCCATCCTTGACCCAGCATTTCTATAGACTTAAGTTTATTTTTTTTCACAATTGTACTCAAAGAGGATTGGTTTAAGCCTGATGGGTCCAAAAGAGGCTCGAGATTCTCTACTTTTGAACTCACTTAGCAGTTCCTATCCTCTACTGTACTGCTGGTGAGGCCTTTGCCCCTGAACTTCCATTTGCAGCAAGTGTTACAAAACGGGGGCCGAATGCACTAAGAAATTCCATTAATTGTCCAAATGTGGCTCAGACGGAACTGTG